CCCCCCCCCGGCGAGGCAGTGAGCGGCAGCGGCGCTGGCCTCGGCCCCGGGAGAGGCTGCACGTCCCGTCCCTCTGTGCTGAATGGCTGCGATGGCGCCCGCTCTCCCTGACGCAGCAGCCGAAGCTCATCACATCCGATTCAAGCTGGCTCCGCCGTCCTCCACCTTGTCGCCTGGCAGTGCCGAGAGCAACGGCAACGCCAACAACATCCTCCTGGCTGCCAACGGCACCAAAAGGAAAGCCATTGCTCCGGAGGATCCCAGTTTAGATTTCAGAAACAACTCCACGAAGGAAGAGCTGGGCAAGCTGCAGCCGCTCGTGGCCTCTTACCTCTGCTCGGATGTAACATCTGTTTCTCCAAAAGAGCCTCTGAAGCTGCAAGGGGTCTTCAACAAGCAGACAGTCCTGAAATCTCACTCTCTCTTATCTCAGTCCTTCTTGAAAACGAGCGATCTGTTGGGGAGGCAGCCAGTGTTGGAATTCACTTTGGAGAATCTAAAACCAATGAGTACTAATAGCCAGCCACCTGTCCCGCAAGCGCCCGTCAATGGCTTGGCCAAGAAATTGGCCAAAAGTACCAATCCAGACCATGAAAACTCTAGTTCTCTGAATGGTGGGAAGTGTGCTCCCCCTTCTGCTGCCCTCCAGGGGATCGACTATAATGCGGGAGGGTCTCAACTGGGGGACTTGAAGACCGCGGTGACCAATTGCACTCTTCCACGCAGAAGCCTTGCCGCGGAGCACCCGACTCCGTTTAGCAATAACAGCACCGCAAACAAACCTTGCCCAAATTCCATGGAGCAGCAGCGGGTGCTCGAGGGTGGCAGCGGAGAGGCGAGGTTGTCCAGTGCCGAGAGTCACTCCGACTTCGGGAGCAGTAAGTTGGAGGAGCAGAAGCCTTCCCTGTTGGCCGGGCACCACAGCGCTCTCGACTCGGAGATGAGGACGAGGGCGCTGCTGCGGCGGCAAGCGGACATCGAGAGCCGCGCGCGCAGGCTGCAGAAACGCTTGCAGGTGGTGCAGGCCAAGCAGGTGGAGAGACACATCCAGCAGCAGTTGGGTGGCTTCTTGGAGAAAACTCTGAGCAAGCTTCCGACCTTGGACCCGCTGAGGCATCGGAGCCAGCTGATGTTGACCAGGAAGGCGGAGGCAGCCTTGAGGAAAGCAGCAAGCGAGACAGTTACTTCCGAAGGGCTGAGCAGCTTTCTGAAGAGTGACTCCATATCAGAAGAACTGGAGAGATTCACAGCCAGTGGAATGGCCAACTTGAGATGCAGCGAGCAGGCGTTCGACTCGGATGTCACCGAGAGCAGCTCGGGAGGAGAGTCTGACGTTGAGGAAGAGGAACTGACCAAAGCAGACCCAGAGCAACCCCACGTACCGCTGTGAGTAGCAGAAATGCTTTGCCTGCCTATGGTAGGGGGAGAGCAAGGGGAAAGGTGGAAAACAAGGTGGAAAAAGGTAGAAAAATCTGGATTTTGCAAGAACCTTTTACTTTTTTTGGTGGGCTTGGATCCAAGAAGGGGTATTTGTTAAAACTAGTGCCATGTGGTTTGTAGGACACTTCCTAGTTGAGGCAGCACGTGTGATATTTCAGATCAAATCCTTCATGTGTGCAGGAGTTGTTGATGTTGCAGAGTAGCAAATCCTGGAAATTCCGGCTTGGCTGGAGCAGCTACAAAGCTAAAACATTATAAACTGTTCTCTCCAGTGGCTTGTTGGTATGTTGGACCTGTCTCCTGAAATGAAAAGTTCACCTATTGCAGTGGGAAACTTTGTTGTAAACCAGCTATATAAAGTAAGGTCAGTCTGAGTCTTTGCAGTTAGCAGCATAATCCTGACAGAGATTTTTTTTTTCCTTAAATAAACTGTCTTGCAGAAGGGGAAAAAAAATATATATATATTATATATATATACACACACACACGCACATATATATGTATATGAAAGGATTTGGTCCAGGTGCTGGTGGAAGGGCAGAGTGAGTGTGTCATCTCTGGAACCTCTGGAAAATTATTGCTGGGAGTTTTCCTCTTGTGCCTGAGTTGCGTTAAGTGACAACAACAGCCTCATAATTAAGGTGTTAACTGGATACTATTTGCATGAATTTTAGCTGTCAATTTGTGTGTGGAGGAGGAAGATAATCAAGAGAAAGGTCTTGAGACAGGTCAAGTAACAAAGGAAATCTTTTTTTCTTTTTTTTTTTTTCCCCTTCCAAAGAGAAGCATTTTCCCTATGAGTGCTTACCACGGTATATTGAACAAATATCTTAAAAGGCCATATTCCATGTGCAGTCTGTGTAAAATCTTGCTTGCATCAGTAGATGATCTGTTCCATGCTGCTGGGCCTATTGAACTTAAACCTCGGCATGCGAAGGGTAGCTGCTGTCGACAAAACGCACCGCGCAGCAGCCAGAAGTCGCCCTTTTGGGACCACTGACTCTTGTTTTTGATCAAGACTTGACATACGTTAAGTCCTTGGGTAACTATTAGCGTGTCTGGCCCATCCGGCGTGTTCAGATCTCTGTGGAGGAATAACTTAGTGTATTTTTGTACCTGTTGTCCAAAGTCATGTTAGTCACGTGCCCTGTGACGCACATCTTGCTAAATGAGTGGGCAGGAACCAGGGCTGGGAACCCTTTGGAGTTCTCTTGTCCTCTGTAACTTCAACATCCTCCCCAGACAATCCCACATAGACAAGTATGGATACATGCATGCGTTACAGCTCTTGAATATTATGTATTGTAGCTTGTTATGAGAAGAGGCATTTGCTGCAATCATCTGTCTGAAGTAATATCAAACTTCCCGTGTTGCGGATTTCATAGTTCTACTTCACGTGTTGTCTGGCAAAATAAAATCTGTTTGCCACTCACCTCAGTCCCTAGAGGAAGTGCGGTATTCGGAGACACGATGCGTGAAATTCTTTGCTGACTTTTCTGCCCTTTGTTTTGTGTTAGTCCTGCCTTCAAATTCCCCAACCTCATGAGAACTCTTAAAAAAAAAGCCAGCGATTTTAAAGCTAATAAAAAGAATTATCCGTGTGTTGCCTGCAGGTTGGGGAGCTGGTGTGCACGCTTGCTGGCGTCCAGGCCCACCAAGCCTCGTTTGAAGCTTATGCCTGTGGGTAGTTAGTAATTAGTGTGTCCAGCATTGACTGTCCTGCTGGCACGAGTGCTTTGACATTGGGTCTTCCCGAGCTCTGGCACTGCTGGGATTGAGGTGGATTTGAGGCAACTTTGTGCCTGTTACTGCAACTCCTTAAATCAACCTTAAGAGCCAAGAGCTACATCCGAATACATCCAAATATCATTCTGTGCAAAACAGTGTGAAGACACAGGAAGAGGAAGAGCCGACTTTTCCACTGGAAGGCTGCCTTGGGCCAGGTTACAGATCCGCTGATTCACATTTGTGTGAGCACAGAAAAGTGGAGGCTTTTTCAGGGCTGTGCGAGTATGGCCAGGTTTGGCAGCTTGCTGAATTCGCTCGTTGAAGGGAGAGCTTTTACTCGGATTATTCATTCTTTCAGTAGTGAGACTGAATAACTTAGTGAGTGCATAGTAATCATCAAGACCCTTGTGAAAAACTTCTAAAATGATTATTTTTAGCATGAGGTGGATCACCCAAGTAAGCTGAGGAAGTCACGTGGCTGTACTTTTTGGTGGCTCTAAATGAGAGAGGAAGAAGTTTAGGTGAACAATTTGTTAACTCAATGTACTTAAAATACTGGTTGCAGTCAAGGGTCTGCCTGGGCTTAGCCTGAAACCTGCAATTTTGTGCAGGTAGCCTAAGGTCCCGGTGGACCGTTTGGTTTATGAGGAGGTCCCTTTCTCCAGACTAGTGAGAGTAATGCTACGAATCGTGTCGCTTGTTTGAATAAATGTGTTTGGGATTCAAGTAGAAGAATGAGAAGGAAATGAAATGTTTACGTCATGCTTAAATGAGAGTTGACCTTTGAGTTTTTCAGGCATGGTGACATTCCAGAATCTGTGTCTGGTCAAGGACAAACTCGCCAGGATTTTACTGTTCCAGCCAGCCTTATCGTTGCTGTAGAGCAGGGTCTCCTTGAGGAACCTCAACTTTCCAGGAGCAGGAGATCCTGGACGGGGGTAGGACCTTCTGAAGGCCTCGCGGACGTGCTGCCCAGACAGGGGCTGTCCTCGGCGTGGGTAGCCAGGCCATGGTGCAAGGCACAATCAGAGCAGGGAGGTGCTGGTTACGCCTCCTTCCTTAAGGCCTGCCACGTGTGGGCTTGGTTTAACAAGACACTCCCGCTTCCAGCGCAACTAATGGGGAAAGAAAGTCTCCACAGACAGGATTGGTTCATGATGCAGTCTTGGCGTTGTTTGGATTAAGGCCTACCAAAATATACTGCACTGCTGTTTATGCAGGAGCGCTTGGAGCGGGACATGTGAATCCCTCGGTCGGGACGGGGGGTGGCTGGGGCTCTGCCCTGTGTGCTCACGGTGACGCCGTGGTGTCCCAGAGCAGTAAACACCCCGGGATAGCTCCAGCTCCATGTTAGCACTTGCAAGTGGGAAGCACTCAGGAAGGCCTGTGTTAGCTCTGCAGTAGTTGCTTTTTGCAGACTGCTCGTGGTTCTTTGGTTCTCTTGCATTGGCCCTAGACTAGCTTCATCCACATTAGAGTTATCTTGGGGTGATTAGTTATGTACCTAGAGCAGTGGTGTAGTAATCACCTGGTGATCGCTTCTGCAGAACTGACCTCAGTCTGTGCATCACGTGAGAGGCTGTAAAAAGCTAGTGGGGAAAAAAAAGTGTAGGAAAGAACTTTGCTGGGTTTCTTACCTGGAAAGTCACCGCCTTAATGGTGGTTGCATCAAGCTGGTGAGAGCAAACTGCAGTTTCTAGTGACTTGACTTGTCCTGCCATCTTTTACAGGGTCGGGTGGCGCTGCGTGTTCGGTGGCGGTTGTGACGGTAGCAATGCAGTGTTTGCCCCTGCTCTGTGCTTTTGGCAGCACCACTTTAAATCCCGTGCTGAAAAACTTCTGTGCTGCTTAAGTCAGTGGTTAGTTGAGGAGCAGTTGGAGCATCAGCTGATGGAGCAACTGGTTTTAGAAATCAGTTTTTTGTCCCTTGACTATATTCTTCAAGCAAGGGTGTTGTAAAGAAGTGTGCATCTCTTAGAGCTATTAAATAATATTTGCTGTGGCTGTGATTCCACGGAGCTGCAACTCAGATGAGAGTTCCTATGCTTTGGGGACCAAGAAAGCTTTTTCTCCTGCTCGTGACCATGATTTACTAATTCCAGTTTATGCAGAGCAATCATACATCTGTCTCTACCCCGAGGACTTCCATAGTCATAAACAGTGCTGACTTTCTTCCTGGTGTGAGTTTGATGCGTTGGTTTAAATACGTTTTTCTGTGTTGCAGTTGCACGTGGCCGAGGGGAGGTCCCTTGAGAAGGGAAGCAGCGTTTGGCGTTTGCCCCTGTCTCGGGGGGACGGCCAAATGCAGGAAAGTGTCTAAATTCCATGGGGGGCTCCGGCTGCGGACAGAGCATCCTTCTGGGATGTCTTTGGACACTGCAGGTTGCACTGACGCCCCTTTTTCTTTCGAAGTTCCCCCTGTGCCTCTCCCAGCAGAACTTCTGTCATTCCCTGGGCAGCTTTCCCGAGGAACAGGCATCTCCTCCTGGGTTGGGAATGGCCGTGGTTGCGCAGCGAGCAGGCGCTGCCGGGCTGGGCCCTTGTGCCGTGTTTTGGGCCGCTCTGCTGCGAGTTTGGGATCTTCCCTGGCAGCTGCTTAGGGCAGTGGGTTGTCCCGGGCCTGTCCGCAGAGGTGACGTGCGGGACAGGGAGTCATGGGGTGTCTGGCTTCAGCAGTAAATCCTGTCTTGTCTCCCAGTCCTTACCCACTGGGGCAGCCAGGAAGTAAGGGCTCTACATGGGCTCTTTAGGTCTTGTGCGTGACACTTTGGGTAGGTTTCCATAAATATTTACTTTGGTCTTCATCGGAAAAATTGTCAGAGTGTCCAAAACGGCAGGAAAACTCTCTTGAAGTTAGTGGCTGGGAAGTGGCAGCAGAGCAGCCCTGTGGCAGCCCGGCCGCTCCCCGGCGGTGTCCAGCTGACAGGGCCCCTTTTAGCCAAGGGGGGGAACCCGGTTCGACCCGCTCTGCC